GTAGTAGGATTGGGGCATAAAGCGGTAGAGAATCCCTGCCTGAAAAAAAAAGACTACGAAGTGGATAGAGACTGGTCCCAGCCCGCCAGTGCGCCAGACATTGTCGTCGCGTGTAATCATCGTAAATATCTGCAAATTTACGTTTCCTTGTAAGATTATCACTAAAGAAAAGTAGCATGTAAACCATCGAAAAGCAGTCGAATGCAATGTCGGCTAGCACTTTGAGGCAGCGTATTTTGAATTCCTGATGCCGCAGCGCATGCGAGAGAAAAAAAGAAAGAGAGTAAGAAGGATTCCAGTGCCTCCGACAGGAGCGCTTCCACGCTATTGGTTCTTCGCTTGAGGTGACCTGGCCGGGCGAGCACGCATTTGTAAACAGACACATGCATGCATAGAGAAAAGCACGGCACTTTTTGCGGCTGTTTCATCATATGGAAACACCCCTGCCCATGGGCATGCGAATGGTGGGGGCGCGGCTGTTCACCTTTTGAGTCGTGGGAGCGCATATTCGGCATTTCACATTGACATAATAGGCAGGGGTTGAGGTGGACAGGGAGGGGGCGATAGACCTTCACTCCCACATGTAGCCTGGAGGAAAACTGCACACGCCACTTTCTCTACATTTTCATTCTGTGTCCCCCTTCCCTTTTTCCTCAAGGAGCTAAGCTGAACCATGCTTCCACAAGTGTTCATCGAACCTACTGGCACAGCTCTTTTAAGCTGCTCACCACGATTAACTAGCGCTTCTCCTTTTCATGAGTTAGAACCTTTTTTACTCCTCTTTTTTTAATCTGGCCGTTTTCTCCTCTCTCTGTTTCTTTTATCCCCATCCCCCTCGAGTTTTTTCTTTTAGTGTGCCCTCACTGAAACAGATATCAGAACTTTTTTTACTCCTCTTTTTTAATCTGGCCGTTTTCTCCTCTCTCTTTGTTTTATCCCCATCCCCCTCGAGTTTTTTCTATTATTGTGCCCTCACTGAAACAGTTATCATGCGTTCCTCCCTCATTTACTTGCTTTTCCCTCCAACATTCTTGATTTTTTTCTTTTTGTGAAAAAAGGGTTGTCAAAAAGAGTGCCTCTTTTCTTCAATCAACCACTTAATCATCCGTGCCACAAGCATGGTAAACCTTCATGTGAGATTTAAAGTTCTAGCGTACCACCTAACCTTCGAGTTGGTTTCGATCAGCAACGTGCTTCTAACTGGCATGGCGAACTTCAGCTGCGTTTCAATGAACGGCGTCGGTTCGACAGACATTAATGAGTGAAACAGATGTCAGTTCTAAATTCCCATCTAGCGCACGAGAGGTGCCTCTGTGTCGACGTGCGCACAGATGGCGATGTGCACTGGGGAATCGCCAACTGCAATTAGGCAACAAATACGATGTTGATCATTGACAGGAAAAACAGAAATCCAAAGAGGTAAGCTCGGATGTTCTCTGTTTTCTTTACACGTGCCTAAAAGCAAAGTCCAATAAGATTTGATCATATCGACAGTCATCGCAAAGCCACACTAGTGCTGCTGAACGAGGAAATAATACAATAGCCTCAACGTCAACCACCTAGTTTTTGTTTACGCGAGAATACTGCTGGTGAAACACATGGGGCTTATTAACTTACAAAACAGACATGTGCATTCTCGCTCATCATATAGAAAGCCACAACGTTCTGTTATTGATTAATTGTCATAATATTGTGCACTAAAATCGTAGTGAAAGCGTGGAACTATAGCTGCTGAAATCCACGAAAGTGTTAATGACTGGCATGATTAGCGCATTTCTTATGTTGTTTTTAACTGAAACCAAGAGCCTTCCATTTTCACTGATTTCAATAAAATGAGCCAGCCTGCAGCATGTCTGTCTTGTAAGTAAATAAGCCACATGTGTTTCACAACTAGCAGTATGCCCACATAATCAAGGACTAGGTTGTCTATGACAAGTCTAATGTAACATTTTCTCGTTCGGTAGCACCCTGAAGGCTCAATTAACAAAACCTCATAAGGTGCATTTCGTGTCACTATAGAATCATGCTGAGTGCAGAAAACATTTTGGGAAATGCGGATCAGGTGTGGCTTCACAGTTATAGTCAATATCATCAAATCCTATTATATTTTGCTTTTCGCTCCTTAGGACGGAAACGAACAACATGTGAACTTGCCTCTTTGTATTTCTGGTATTGCTGTTGATGATCCACGATGTATTTGATGCCTGGCGATTCACTCGTGCATGTTGCCATTCATGCACATGTCGAGGCGGTGGCACTCCACTTTTACTAGCCGAAGCGACTCCGCACATTGAAACTATCACTACAATATCAAAACAAGTCATAGGTGCCTCATCGCACAGTGGTGCATTGGTGTGAGTGGCCACCTAATCCTAACAGAGCAGCGAAGTAGCAAGGATGCTTCCGCACGATGGAACAGATGTGAACACTTTGTGTGTACGTGCGTTCGCAGGTGAGATGACCTTGCTCATCTTTACACACGCTTCCTTAATATGAGTGATGCCATCATTTATGTGATCTTAACAGGAAGGACCAATGGCACGTGAGCAGTCCTGATGGAGCGACTTGCTTCCTCCTCACTCTCTTTCTTTTCTCTTTTGCGTGCGCTGCGGCACCAGCATTTCACATTACGTTGCCGGAAGCAGAATCAAACATCTGTTATCACTTTTCTTAATATACAGGGAGCATGATTTACAGACCTGTAAAAATGCACACCTGTAAAAATACAGAAACGTGGAATTCGCAGCATGCTGCCTCGATGCGTGCCTCTGTGCCCACTGAAGAAGCTGTTGGAGCGCCCCTTGCTTAAGTCCTGTGCTGGCAGTGACATCATCATTGAAGAAGGCCATGCGCAGATAGTTGAGGCGACAATGCTTGCATCAGAGTTTGGTGTCTTACCGTGCTAGAAGTAACGTGGCCGGTAACCAGGACTGTGGAGCGGAAGTCACCACACCTGCATGGAAAACGATGGAAATTGCAATGATTACTGCTCACTGTTGCTACTTTCACAGATATACTTGTTATGTACGTGTCGCCCGACCACTAAGACTGTGATCTTGCCTTACCCTACATGACTTTCGCGAATAACTCATCACGTCACGATACAGCGCGCTTTTCACCATTCTACCTATGGTAAAGAAAAAAGCCAACTTTACCCCGGGACACAGTCACCTCAGTTCATATCACGTCCACGAGTGAGTATGCCCGCGACGCAATCGCGCAAGCCGATCATGCCAGTCAGTTAGCCCATGCTCAGCTGACAGTGTCACAGAACAATCAACCTCGTCGGTGCGATTCAAAACATCGAGACGTACATTTGGATCTCAGTACCCTTGTGTTACTCTGGTGTACTCATCATCGATTAGGCCGTGGGAAAAACTTTTATCTCGCTGCGCAGGACCTTACGGTGTATAGCGTCAAGTAACACCTTTCACTTGTGAGATCAGCCCCATCTGTCCATTAAAAACTGCTGGACCATCCTGTGATGTTCATGTCTCGCAGCTCAAGCCCTACAATAGTACGTCTAATAATGACAGTTAAAGCTCCAGGATGATGTCTCCGCTGCCGGGGGTCATTCGACACACCAGTAGCATCGAAATGCAGAAGACAAAGAGGACAGACTGGTGTGAGCTAATCTGTATAGCTAGCACTACTCACTTAACCACTAGTAAATATATCTGTGTCAGCTCTTCATAGTCGGTATCTTTCTCTTAACAATATAAAACCTTCAAAATATTCTAAATGCTTGGCAGCTGGTTAAAATTCTTGTGTTTTACGGTGTGCTGTTGGTTTTTATCGTTTTTTGCCAAATGAGTCGTGAAGTTATGATTGGTACTTTAGAGATTTAAATCACGCCAGCATCGTGAAATATTTTGTAGCTGCCTCTTCTTTTTACAGTGAAAGCTGTTATGAGATCACAACTCGTGTCTGGTGCAGCGCCATCTTCGTCTACCGCCGTTGGTGTCCATAACCACATCGCACTAAATAAGCAAAAGCCATAGTGCAATGACACATTGGGGCTTGAACCCGGGTCCTCTGAGTGCCAGTTCAGTATTATACCACAGGGGTATGCCGGTGCATGGGACTTGTTGGCAGACTTGCCTTAGGCAGGCTTGATTTCGGGAAAGCAATTGCATTATTACGACTTATGAAGCGCTTTAAAACATCGAAAGAACAAGCAGTCATCGCACAATGCAAATAGCGTAACAAGTGGGAGGTCAAATGCTCCAACCCACTACAAAAGCTTGTTTTTGTTCAGCTAATAACTGTGGCGCATATGCAAATCAAGCATAATTCCTCATCGTCATCAGCCAGCGCATGAAAAATCGGCAAAACATTCTTTACAACAGTTTAGCAGATACCATGCTTCTCAGAAAAATGATGAAAAATAGCATAGCGAATGCCAGCCTACTATCCTAAAATTTTTATTATTCATGCCCTAGTGGGCATCAAGCAGGTGTGCTTGCAGCAGTTGCCCGATGCGTGTTTAGAAAAAGCTCTAAAAGGCCGCTCTTCTAAGCTTTCGCTGTGACTGTGCTGCGCCTTCCGTGCATGCTTGGCATTTCTTTAGTAGCTTCGTGATTTTGGAACGTAAAGCCTCAGATATTATTGAATATTATTAGCCTTAAAAGAGTGCGTGATGCCATTACGTCCCACAAAAATGCATGTTTGGCACCATCTAACGAGTAAGTGCAGTGCTGAATATTGCTATTGTGCTTCACAGTTATTTTCAAACTAAACCTCTGTTGCAATTCTATAGAGCACTTTATTTGGCCACTTTGTGAAAGTTAAACAAAGATTGCAGAATTCTGCATTCCATGAGCATAATTCTGCAAGAATAGGAGACAAGGACTAAGGCACAGAAAAACATCTCTCTCTTTGTCTCCTCTGCTACGTCCATGCAGTGCCAAATTCTGCAATCTGTCTTCATTCCTGCATTAAGACATTACTTGTAGTGGACTTGTTTGTTTGATTCTTACGCATCATTTCTTGTCTTTCAGAAAGGGATCGCAGTTACGAGATCTCATCGTTTGTTGAAACCCAAGCCACGAACTTGCTCAAGGAACACCCTGTAGAATTCGTCAAGTATCCTTTTGAGCGGAGCTGAGTAGCGTCGTTAGTGCACAGAACATGATTTGCCTTTTTGCTTTATCGATTAAATTAGGTACACTTTTGTGGGCAATCGAAACTAATTGTTCAATTATACAGCGCACCTTTGTGATGACTGAACATACAATGAAAGCCTGGGGAGCTATTCTTGCGGTGTTCAATTCGCCGGAGCGCATTCAGTTATGCAAAAAACCAGTGAGTCGTGACGTCATGGCACGCTTGACCACGTCGGCACACCTAACTCGCCAGTATATTGTCACGTAATACAAGGGGGGGAAACACAAAGACTAATTTACTAAGGGCAAACTTGGCACCCAGAAAAAAAGCATTCTGCACACGTGTCCCTTTCTGAACAAAAACTAGGTCAGTCTCTCGGCTCGTGCTCATGCACGAGAGGCGTGCGCTGCCCTGCGCCAAGATGCACGAGCACGCGTAAGGCGATTGTAGACACTCAGATAGCGTCTCCTTCGTTGTCTTTGTAAAATGATTAGTAGGAGGAATCTCTGTGGCATTACTCCTCCTCCAAAATGTGCATCATCCCGATGCCTGAATTCGAGAGGTTGTCGAGGGGGTAGATGCTTAATTCTCTTTCGTGGTATGGCTTCATGAGGACAACATGGACGACCTCTGCATGGTTGTGCCATTTCGAACGCTCTTGTCTGTCAGATATTACTTGTTAAGTCATTTAGCTGGCAAAGGACCTTATATGGACCAAAGTACTGCAGAAGGAGCTTTTCTGGCGAGCCGCGACATCGTATTGCTGTCCAGATCTATACTTGATCACCAGGCTGCTTAACGTCCCTCTGGCGCAGGTTGTAGTAGTCTGAATCGAAATGTTGATGTATTCGATGCCTTGCCAACTGGCGTGCTTCTTCACCTTTCTGGAGAAATTCCTCAATGTCGGGCAGCTCGTAGTGGTCATTGCCGACTGTGAGCATGACGTCGAGAGTTGAATTGACTATGCGACCATAGACAAGCTGAAATGGACACGTTAAAGAACCCCAGGCGGTCGAAATTGGAGCCCTCCACTACGGCGTCTTTCATAATCAAATAGTGGTTTTGGGATGTTAAACCCCACGTATCAATTAAAGCTGAAATTGAGTGACGCGGAAGGCCGTATTATAGGCAAAGGTTGCGTAAGATAGATTTCGTCCCATGTTTTATGCTCCAAGCTTACGTACATCAACAGCATGTCAGCGATGGTGTGATTTAGGCATTCCATTAACCCATTTGCTTGGGGATGGTACACAGTGCTTTTCCTATGACTGGTGTTCGTCATCATCAAACACTGCATCAACTCAGATGTGAAGGCTGCTCCTCGGTCGGTGATTACTACCTTTGGGGCACCATGTCGACAAACTATGCTGTGCACGAAAACCTTGGCTACTTCAGCTGCCATTCCTCACTCAAGGCAGCTGGTTTCAGTGTACTGTGTTAAGTAGTTGATCGCGATGACGATCCACCTTTCGCCCTATCATGACATTGGGAATGGTCCAAAAAATCCATTCCAACTTGTTCAAACTGGTGTAGCAGGCGGGTCCAAGGGCTGGAGCAGGCCAGCGGTCTTCAGTGGTGGCCTTTTGTGTCTTTGGTATTCGCGACATGTCTTCACATATTGCAGCACGAAAGCCAGCAACTTGGGCCAATTATACTTCTGATGAATTCTGGCAAATATCCGACTGACGCCCAAGTGACCAGACAATTGGTTCATCATGACAAGCTTCTAGGTTTTCAGACCTCATCACTAATGGAACGATGAGTATGAACTTCTCTTTGTTGGGCCCGAAGTTTCTTTTGTATAAAACTTTTTATGGAGACAGAATGAAAATAATGTTTTCTTAAATACACGTGGGACATCGTCGCCATGCCCTTCGAGGTGTTTGATCAATGGGAGCAGTTCTGCGTCATCCCTTTGATGCTCCGCAATATCTTAGGTTTTCGTCACACAGAGAAAGGTCGAATCTTCTTCTTGTGAAAGAGAAGAGTAAAGTGGCGAGCTTGATAAAAAATCATCATTTTGTTTCCATCCAAACCAGTATATAACAGTAATGTCGTATTCTTGCAGTTTGAGGCTTCATCTGGCAAGACGTCCTGATGGGTATCTTAAGTACGCCAATCAACAAAGTGATTGGTGGTTGCTGAGGGCACGGAACGGCCTTTTGTAGAGGTAGGGTCTGAACTTGCTGATAGCCCATAGCACTGCCAAACACTATTTTTCTGTCACGAAATAGTTTTTTTTGGGTTTTGATAGGGTGCAGCTGGCGTAAGCTATGACTTCTTCTTCTCTATTTTGCCGTTGTACGAGTATCATGCCAAGACCAAGATTGCTTGCGTCTGTATGTAGTTCAGTGTCAGTGGTCTCGTCAAAGTGGGCAAGGATCGGCGGGTTTTGCAGACATTTCTTTATTTTGTTGAAAGCTGTCTTTTGTTCTGTACCCCAAGCAAATGATTCTTTTTCTTTTGTGAGTTTGTTTAAAGGTTCGGTGTTTTACGAAAAATTTTCTACAAATCGTCTGTAGTAAGCACATTAGCCCAAAAATCGACGCATCTCTTTCTCAAATCGTCTGTAGTAAGCACATTAGCCTGAAAATCGACGCATCTCTTTCTTGCCTCTGGGCGACGGGAACCTTGCGACTGCCGCAGTCTTGTCAGGATCAGGGCCAACACTTTTCGTGCTGATTACGTGTCCCAGAAAATGAAGCTTCTCAAATCCGAAGCGGCACTTTGCTGGTTTAACTGTCAAGCCGGCTGACTGGATAGCCTGAAGCACTGACCGAAGTCTCTGTGTTGGTCAAACATCGTGGAAAATACCACAACATCATCCAAGTAGACTAGGCATAACTGCCACTTTAGCCCCGTGAGGACACTGTTCATCATGCGCTGGAATGTTGCTGGTGACACAACAGAGGCTGAAACGTAGTGCTTTAAACTCATACAAGTTATCCGGGGTTACGAAAGCGGTCTTTTCACAAGTCTCTTTCATCCACTTCAATTTGCCAATATCTACTTTTTAAATCTAGCGAAGAGAACTATCTGGGTGCCGTAGCTGATCCAATGTGTCATCAATACGTGGGATTTACATCCCGCTTGGTCACGCTGTTTAGTTTCCTGTAGTCTACACAGAATCTCGTGTTGTCTGTTTTTCGCTCAATAACTACCGGCAATGCCCACGGGCTGCTAGATGGCTGAATGACATCGTCCTGCAGCATCTCTTGCGCCTGGCTCTTTATTCTTTCTATCTACTCATTCTTTTGGTGAAACTCTGTAAGGGTGTTGATACACTGGCCTCGTCGTTTCCTCTGTTATGATCCTGTGCTTCACGATCTGGAGCAACGTACTTCTGAGGAGGTGGAAAAACATTCAGCGAATTCACTTATGAGGTCTTGTAGGATTTTCCTCTCGGCTGGTGGTAAACTTCGGCTGATTGAAACTGATGTTCTAAGGTCATGCGTAGTTTCCGGTGCAGGTGGCTCTGATGCAGTGGCACATAAGTTGGTCACTTCAGTAAAGCTGTGTAGAAAAGCAATGGCTGTGTCTTTTGCAACATACTGAATTTCATTCTCAAAATTGGTGAGGAGTACGTTGGCAAGTCCACCACGTAATCGAATAATGCCCCGAGCTATGCAAATGCCTTTCTTTAGTAGCAGCTCAACATTGCCATCCGCTATTCCTTCAAAGTCGACGAATGCGTCATTCTTTACGCCAACCAGCACCCTGCATTACGATGGCACGGTTACGTCGCCATCGATAACACGCATGCAGAACTCCCTCTCTCCTCGTCTATGGCCAGCTTTGTTGAGAAAGAAATACTAGAATTCTGCAGGTCTATTATGGCGCCGTTAGCTAGCAGGAAATCTATCCCGAGTATTATGTCTCTCGAGCATTCTGGTAGAACGAGGAAATCAGCGTCGTATGTAGCACCCTGAATGCTGATTCTGGCGTGGTGACCTTGGCTGGTGCTGGAAGCTAGCTGCTGGAGATTGCTGCCTTGAAAAGTACTCCTCTATTTCTATAGGTCTTTTGCCATTATGCAGGCATGGTGCATACACATAAAACCCACGCACACCGACTCTTCAGTATGAACAATCTCGGTAAAGATGTCCAGCTTCTTTGCAGTGAAAATAAGATGGTGTCCAGTCAGGTGTGCGCCACACGTCGCTTTTCCTTGTTGTCTGCTCTCCAAGAAAAAGTGAGCTGGGCGAATCTGACTGGCAGGCACCGGGAGTCGCGAATGAGACAATGTGCATGGCAAGTTGGCCTAAGGCATCTGCGTTCGTTGGTACATAGTGTTTCTGCAGAGGTTGTTGAAGTCAAAGAGGTTGCACTTCTGGTTCTGGCTGAAGAATGGTGTGCCAAACTTCATCACGAATGACGGATGTGAGGAATGAAACTGTCGGCATGACTTGCGATTGCAGAAGCTTTCGAAGCTCCTCTTTCACGATAGACAGCACCAGCTCCCCCAGTGTTTCGCTACTGTCACCTTGTTTTGCCAAAAGGACGCCCGCGAGGTCACTGCTGACATACCGATTGAAGTGACGGGCACGCTGCTGCAGTGCTCTTTCTATGGTCGTGGCTTCTGTGTGAAATTCAGCAACGGTACGGGAAGGATTGCGAACCAGGCCGGCAAATAAGTCCTGCTTGAATCTCTGCAGCAAATGGCACACTTTCTTTTCTTCTATCATGTTCATATCAGTGCAATTGAAGAGGCCGGACATGTTTTCTATATACATGCTGACACTCTTGTTGGTGCCTTGGTTTCTTGATTGAAGGACATTTCCTGCCTTTTCCTGGCGATTGGTACTGGCATACGCAGCGAGCAAATGCTGCCGAAAGTCTTCCCACATCGTTATTGCAGCTCTGCGGTTCTCAAATCATAGTCTCGCTCCATCCTCCAACCCAAAGTACATGCGGCCCAGTTTTCTCGCCTCATCCCAGGCATTGGTCCTTGCGACCCACTCGAAATCCTCCAGCCAGTC